ACCAGGGGCAGGGCCAGAACAAAGGAGCATTGAGGGTCCTCTAGTGAGGTTACCTCCTGTTTGATGAAAATGCGGGAGGACACAAGCCAGGGACCCAATCAGACAGAAATTATTCTGTTTGTTCTCCTAAGTGTTGAACCAATAGAATAACTAAAAGAGAAGTATTCACAGACACCAATCAATAATAGTGAGGAGAGGGTGGACAGGGGAGATGATAAGGAAAGGAGAAAATTCCTTGGACCATAAAAGAAGACAAACTCTCCCACCAGATTCCAAATGTTGTGGAACCTTCTCTTTAGACCTCTCTCTCTGTCCCTCTTGCAATAAACCTGCTGCTTGCTTGCTCTCTCTGCATCCTGTTTGTCAATTCTTTGCTCAACAAGGACAATGAACCCAGCACCCCAAATGGTAATAACACCACACTCAATCCTTCTCTCCCTGTAGTTTACCACAATGTCCTCTTCTTCAGCCTTTGGCTCCATGAGCACCAAGGGCAGGACAGAACTTTTCTTTCAGGGAACATCATCGGGGGCCAGGAAGCTGTGCCTCATTCCCATCCCTACATGGCATTTCTTCGGATCAAGACTCAAACTACAACAGAACAATGTGGGGGTTTCCTTGTGCGTGAGGACTTTGTCCTGACAGCAGCCCACTGCTGGGGAAGGTGAGTTTACCCTTCTAGAGAAAACATCACAGGGAATCTTCTCCTTTGGGCCTGAAGACAAGAGCTCCATGGAGGGCAGGGAAGCTATGGAGAGAGAGGAGCAGTCAGTGCAGGTGGCTTCTTATACAAAAGGCGAACGTGGATCAAGGCTGAATGGGAAGGAGGTGGGTTTTGTTCCAGATACCAGAGTGCAAATAAGTGAAATTAAGAGTCTCACCTGGAGCCAGTCTCTGTGCACAACTGTACATGTTCTATACATGACTGAGTACACTGTGATACTCTAGGACCTGTACCAACCCTGGCTGCCAGGAAGCAAAGGGAAAAGATGCTCAGCCCCAAGTCCTCTTCCCATGTAGCTTCTCCCAACTCCAACCTGCCCTGCCCTGGGCCACCCATTTTCCTTCAGGGATACCGACTTGTATCCCCTGTGACTCTACCTCACTGTCTACTCTAGGAACAGAACCATCACTGTAATCCTGGGGGCTCATGACATCGATGAGCAAGAGRCGACCCAGCAGGTCATCCCTATAAGAAGAGTCATCCCCCATCCAAATTTTAAAAACGAGCCATTAAATGACATCATGTTACTTCAGGTAAGGCATGCCATTCCACTGGGTCTTACACAGGTTAATCCTATAGGGATAAATCCTCATGGCCTTGTTTCCATTCCTCTTTGTCAAATTGACCTCTTCACTTGTCCCAGTGCCATGAAGAAAGCAACCCCATGTCTTTGTCGATTTTCGTGAGTTGTTGGTTGATCATAATTCCCTTTATCTGCCTTTAGTTGGAAAAGAAGGCCAAGCTGAATGCTGAGGTGAGCCTCCTSAAGTTACCCTCAAGAAATTCCCAGGTTACACCAGGGATGGTGTGCACTCTGGCCGGTTGGGGACGCCTTGGCCAAAACATATCCACAACAAAACTGCATGAGGTACAGCTTGAAATCCAAAATGACGAGGAATGTCACTCTCATTTCAAAAGTATATATGAATCCACCACCCAGATTTGTGTGGGGAACCCAAAAGAGAAGAAGAATTGTTTTCAGGTAAGTTCACCTGCATTGGCTATTCCCTGCCTTGGGCACAGCAGAGTTTGAGGAGAATCAGGGCAAAGGGAACTATTTATGCCCCTATGTACTCAGCCTTTCACCAATTCAGTCTCTGGTCCTGGAGACTGATTTCCCTTTGGTCACTTCATGAACAGAGACTTACTGGAAAAGGAGAGGCATCAGTCAACTGGAGGGAATAGTCAGGGTCAGGCTGGAGCCCCCAGACTGAATGAGGACTGCCCCAGTCCTGATTTCACACACACAGCCCTCTAATAGTGCCCACACACACCTGGGGAGTGGGCAGTGTGGGATCTGAACCTGGTCAGCTAAGAGCTTCTTTTCTCTGCCCACAGGGAGACTCAGGAAGTCCCCTTGTATGTGAAAATGTGGCCCAGGGCATTGTGTCCTTTGGGGAAGA